CCCGGGAATCCGCCCCATCCCGGGAATGGGCTCCCACCTCCCGGCAGCTTCTCCTTCTCCCCCGTGGAGAGCCCCAGCTGCTCGGCCAGCTCCTTCTGCATGGGCCCCAGCGTGTCCTTGTAGGGACAGCGCGTGGTCCAGTGGTCGCCCTTGCAGATGCGGCAGGACACGATTTTCTGGCCCTTCAGCTTGTTCATGGGGTCCTCCTCCTCCTGGCAGTTGAGGTCCTGGGGACAGCGGAGGTGGCAGCGTCACCCTGTGTCCCCCCCGCCCCCCGCGGTGTCACCTCCCCGGCACGGTGTCCCCCGCTGTCGCGGTGTTGCGCCCCGGCGCGTTGTTGCACCCCGTTGTGTTGGTCCCCTGTTGTGGCGTTCCCTCATTGTGTCACCCACGTCGTATTGTCCCCACCCCGTCACCTTGTTGCCGTGTCACCCCCATACTGTCCCCATCACATTACCCCCATCGCGTCACCCCGTCACATTGTTCCTATTGTGTCACCTTAGTCCTCTGTGCCCTCTGTCCCGCCCCTCCCTTGTCACCCCCTTGTATTGTCCCCACGTCACCCCCATCATATTACCCCATCACATTATCCTCGTGTCGCTCCTATATTGTCCCCATCCTGTCACTCCCACCACATTGTCCCCACATTAACTGATTATGTTGTCCCCATCACACCACTCCCATCATGTTGTTTCTACCACGTCACTCTGTCACGTTGTCCCTATTGTGCCAGCCTACCCTACTGTGCTGTCCACACCACATCCCCATATTGCCCCAACCCGCCACGCACTATCACATTGTCCCCAACGTGTCACCCCCACCATATTGTCCCCATCGCATCACCCCATCACACTGTCCCTATTGTGTCACCCAGCCCACTGTGCTGTCCCTACCGTGTCACCCGTCGTGGTCGCGTGGCCCCTATTGTGTCACCCTAACCCACTCTGCTGTCCCTACTGTGTCACCCCATATTGTCCCCATGTCACCTCCATTGCACTGTCACCCCGTCACCTTGTCCACATCACCCCCATACTGGTCCCATTACATTGTCCCCATCCCCATCACGTCACCCCCATCACATTGTTCCCATTACGTCACCCCGTCACGTGGCCCCTATTGTGTCACCCTAACCCACTGTGCTGTCCCTGATGTGTCACCCCATATTGTCCCCATGTCACCCCCATTGTACTGTCCCCATTGTGTCACTCCCGTCACCTTGTCCCCATTGTGTCACCCTAGCCCACTGTGTTGTCCCCACCGTGTCACCCCCATCATACTGTCCCCACCGTGTCACCCCCACCATATTGTCACCACCGTGTCACCCTGTCACACCGTCCCTGTGTCACTCCTATATTGTCTCCACTGTTTCACCCCCATCATATTGTCCCCAACGTGTCAACCTACCACATTGTCCCCTTCGTGTCACCCTCTTTACATTGTTCCCATCAAGTCACCCCCATCACATTGTCCCCACCACGTCACCCCCATCACATTGTCCTTATTGTGTCACCCCAACCCACTGTGCTGTCCCTACCATGTCACCTATCACGGTGTCCCCATCGTGTCACCCTCCGTCACGTCATTCTCACCGTGTCACCCCTTGTCACAGTGTCCCCCTGATGCCACCCCACTCTGCATTGTCCCCCCTGACAGGGTGTCCCCATCATGTCCCCTCCCCGCGGTGTCCCCATGGTGTCCCCCTGATG